TTCTTCTAAAAACTATGGCTCTCCACTCATCAGTGGTTCCACTCCAAAGCATGAGCGTGGCTCTCCCAGCCATAGTAAGTCACCAGCATATACCCCCCAGAATCTGGACAGTGAAAGTGAGTCAGGCTCCTCCATAGCAGAGAAATCTTATCAGAATAGTCCCAGCTCAGATGATGGCATCCGACCCCTTCCAGAATACAGCACAGAGAAACATAAGAAGCACAAAAAGGAAAAGAAGAAAGTAAAAGACAAAGATAGGGACCGAGACCGGGACAAAGACCGAGACAAGAAAAAATCTCACAGCATCAAGCCAGAGAGTTGGTCCAAATCACCCATCTCTTCAGACCAGTCCTTGTCCATGACAAGTAACACAATCTTATCTGCAGACAGGCCCTCAAGGCTCAGCCCAGACTTTATGATTGGGGAAGAAGATGATGATCTTATGGATGTGGCACTGATTGGCAATTAGGAACCTTATTTCCTAAAAGAAACGGGCAGAGAAAAAAACTATTGATAAGTTTATAGGCAAACCACTGTAAGGGGTGAGTCCGACAGGTCTGATTTGGTTAAGAATACTAAATGGCATGGCTTTGACACCGAGCTGGGTGAATTAGAAAGGCATATCCAGACCCTGTTAAAGAGACCACAGGGTTACCAAGAAGTCTTTGTTCCTGTGCCAGAAAGAAAAAGTTAAAATACTTGCTTAAGAAAGGGAAGGGGGGGTGGGAGGGATGTAGGGAGAGGGAAGGGGGGGAAACAGTTTTGTGGGAAATACTCACATATATTTTCTTCTCCCTTTTTCCATTTTTAGGCCATGTTTTAAAATCATTTTAGTGCATGTATATGAAGGGCTGGGCAGAAAATGAAAAAGCAATACATTCCTTGATGCATTTGCATGAAGGTTGTTCAACTTTGTTTGGGGTAGTTGTCCATTTGAGTCATGGGCAAATGAAGGACTTTGGTCATTTTGGACACTTAAGTAATGTTTGGTGTCTGTTTCTTAGGAGTGACTGGGGGAGGGAAGATTATTTTAGCTATTTATTTGTAATATTTTAACCCTTTGTTTTTATACAGTGTTTTGTTCTAAATCTATGAGGTTTAGGGTTCAAAATGACAGGAGGCGGAAGAGCAAGGCTTATATGGTGGTAGGGAGCTTATAGCTTGTGCTAAAACTGTAGCATCAAGCCCAAGCAGATTAGTCAGAGCCGCCTTTAAATATAATAGAAAAACCAAAATGATATTTTTATTTTAGGTTTTAAATAGGGTTCAGAGATCATAGGAATATTAGGAATTACCTCCCTGTGGAGGTATTGATTTGTAATCTCATTTTCCTTTAAAAAAAAAAAAAAAAAAAAAAAGCTGGTGGCTTTAACATGTTTTCAGATGCAGTAAGGTTTAGTGTAGGACAGCCTTCCTGACCCGATGGCATGAAAACCATTACAGAATTAATAGTTCTCCTGTTTCCACAATGTGCCAAAACTCTGCATCCCAGCATTTTGTTTGCAGGAGAACTGATGCCATTCCTAAGAGCTGGACTCATTGTTTCTCTTCATCACAAGGAGAAGGAGTCCAAACTTTAATCACTCCACTGTATGCTCCCTGAGAGATAAAACAGTAAAAAAATCTGCAGCCATAGTTCACTTAAAACAATTTCAAGCTCACTTGAAGTAATGGGGGCCTGGAATGCTGGGTGAGCATGAAGATAAACCCTGCTACTATGTAGCAACCCAACTGGACCTTTTTGGAGAAATAGGTCTGAGTCTGGATTCTGGGGGACATCGATAAGAGCCCTTCACATAAAAATGTAGAAATCCAGGAGACTGTTTTGAGTGCAACAGAAGTTCTCAGTATTTGGAGGGTCCTCTCAAAATTCTGCGGCCTTACTTTGATATTGACACCTGCACTGTGCCATTCCTGATGATTCCATTCAGGATCTGTATCAGCGGGATGGGGCCTGGTCCCCAGCACAACTCTTCTGGGTTAAAAAAAAAAAAAGCCAGGTGATTCCTCTGTGTATTATGTCATAAGTAGAGTGACTTCATCATATATGGAAGATTTCTATATTCAGCTCTTTCTGCAGGTTGGAGTCAGCATAGAGTTGGAAAATCAGCTTTGGCTTTCTTTCCTGTCTCATTTCCTCTAGTGTTCTCCCTTTTCTGGTCATCAGCTCTCAACAACTCTGCCACTTTTGTGTCCCAAGGTAATAAGATGTAGGAAACAAAACATTGCAAAGTGGAGCAAGAAAAGTTATCAGTTACCGTATCAGAGTCAAATGTCTTGGGTGACACTAACGAGGACATGGGCAGGTGATACCAGAGTGCTTTATCTTGTGATGTTGATACAGTAGCGGCCTCTCAGACATTCAGCCAGGTTCGATTTCTCACGGGTTTGTCACCTAGTTTTGAATCCTATCCCGTTGGTTTCTGCAGGAAAAAAAAAAGTTACATGGTTTTAAAAATTTGTTCTGGGTGGGGAAAATCTTACTGGGAATGTACTGAATAGTATCGGGGCTCAGCTCCCCCAAACAGGGCCAACAAATACCAAAATGAGTAAACTGGGAAGCTTTTCTCTTTTTCTGTCTTCATCCCAGATCAAAGAATCCCGAGTTAGGATCTGGATGAAGGATAAGCCCCTGAATTGTCGATGGGCTCACCCCCACACTGACCCAGCATCTGAACTTGCTTAACAGGGAGCCGGGGCTAAACTGCTTCACCCTGCCTGAGAACCAGGGAGCACTGCATTTCTCCACAGGGTGGAGGAGAAGAGGCAGAATAAATCAAGCCTGGGACACCTCCCTCCTGTCTAGGTGTACTTATTCTTCTGTTTCAAAAGAAGGCAAGGACATGAAGTCAACTTCTACCTATCTTCTGCTGCTGGTGTCTTATGTATTCCCAGTTTGACCTGATTCCTCTTCTGTCTTTTGGCTTAACATTAGGGGTTCTTGGTCATAACCTGCTCTGATGTACATGAAGATTTCAGGTTCAAAATCAATGTGTCTTAAAACAGAAGTATTTTAGCGGGTGGGGGGTGGGGTGGGGGGGACAAACACAGGATATAATTGCCAAAACCAGGCTTGAGGTTGGCGACTCTTTTGAAAGATTTTCCTTCTTCAGGCCTAGATGGAAAAATTAAGTGCAGCAATATCATGAATTCTCAGAAGCCCTTTCAGGGAGCCAGTGAGTCATACAGTATCCACAGTTGAGTCACTTAAAGATGTCAGTATGGGAAACATTCACAATCCTTGGGCAACCTAATTTTTTTTTCCTTCTCCCCTCCTCTCCTGCTCCCCATACATTTCGAGTTAGTTTTTGGTGGGGCAGGAAGTACTTAACATCTCAGAAGCTAGATTGGGAAACATGCTCAGCCTATAAGAACTGAGCTTTAAATTTTGAGTTTAAAAATGTACATCAGGAGCAGCTGGGGAGGGTCGTTTTTTAAAAAGAAATCTTTCAAATTTGGTTTTCTGTGCATATGGCCGTTCTGTAAATACTTTGGGGTTTTTCATTTTTTTGAACGTAGATGAACTCTGTTGTGGGATTTTTTTTCCCCCAAAACATTACAAAATAACCTGTTTATTTACATGCAAATAAACTTCTTTGATAAAAAGTAATGTGCCTGTGTGTAATAAAATTTTAGCCTTTGAATACTTTTTTCATTTGTTCAAAACTCCAGTGAATAAGAGTCAGTCAAAAGTAAATGTCTTCCCTGAGTACTACTTGAAATGGTCCACTGGAATGGATAATTGACCTGTGAAACTTGTCTTCATTCTGTTAATCTGTAGGCCAGTTTTTCTACCCTTTGTCATTGTTACTCACCATCAGTAGTTTCTGTTGGGAGAATACAGCTCTTAGATGAGACAGAATGAAAAGGTTTTTTTATTCCACTGGCTGAACTCAAGCAAAAACATTAAAAGTACCTCGGACAGAAGGAGAAGACAGACCTGGGATTATGGGTCTGAGAATGAGTTTTCTGTAGCTAGGTCCCTGGTTTTAGGAAGACACCTCTAGGATTAAAAAAAAGGGGGGGCCAGTAGTGGTGACTCACATGAGGCCTGTGATCTCGGAGGAGACTGGAGGATCACTTGGTCCCAGGAATTGCAGATGAGCCTGGGCAACACAGGGAGACCCTGTCTCTACAAATGAAAAAAGATCCCAGCATTCTGGGAGCGCAAGGCGGGCAATTACCTGTAGTCAGGTGTTCCCGACCAGCCTGGCCAACATGGCGAAACCCCGTCTCTACTTAGCTGGGCGGGGTGCTGCGCGCCTGTAATCCCAGCTACTATGGGATGCTTGAACCCGTGAGGCGGAGGTTGCAGTGAGCCGAGATCGTGCCACTGCACTCCAGCCTAAGCGACAGAGTTGAGACTCTTATCTTAAAAAAAAAAAAAAAATTGTACAGTGCTTTAAGAGTTTGGTAATATGCCCTCCAGCTAAAATGTGCCTATTCTTAAAGATCAACCGCACTTGTTGCTCTTGTTAATTTCTTAGATGCACAAGTCAGTCGCTAAAGCCATTAATTAAAAGGGGTGTGAGGAAGAACAAGTCATAACTGCTTTGGAAGCATACAATTAGCAGTGCTGCTGCTCCTGCCAGGACTGCTGTAATTTATTATACAGTTTCTAGTATTTCACGCTTAGGACACGATTTCGTAGTTTGTTGCTCTTTGCAGGGGCAACGAACTACAAACCCTGAGTTATTCCTTTGTAGAAATTCGGTCATAAATTATGAGACCTTGAATACCAGAGTTGTTAAAACATAATATAATATGATGACACAGATCCGCTTCGATACAAGGAGCCCCAGAGTCTGATGAAGCTTTTCTACGGGAAAACGCCCCCGCCTACTCGCTCACACACGCTTGTTTCTCCCGCCAAAGTGGCGTCAGGCCGAGGTTCTCACCAACCAGCGCCCTGATTGGCGGATGGGCAGGCGCTGCAGCCCATTGGGCGCCAGCGGCGGCCCAGCAGGGGAAGTCAAAGGCCCTTCGGCCTCGCCCGCCCCACCCCCACGGACACGCGCCCCTTCCCATGCCATAGAAAGGGTTGCCGGGCTCCAGCCCTGCACCCCGCCCAGACCCCGGCCCCAGGTGCCGCCCGGCAGCTATCCTGGGACCAGGGTGGGCACTCGGCCTGCAGCTCAGCACAATCAGCCCTCGCCCTCCCAAGCCATGCACCGGGAGACACGCGTCCCGCAGCGGCCCCCCAGGCCTCCCTGCAGCGCCCCGTAATGCAATCCACTGGGGCGGGGGAGGCGGCGGCGGCGGCGGCAATCGAGGAGGCGGCGGCGGCGGCAGCCGCAGTGCCCAAATCTAGAGACATCCAGAAAGAGGAGGAAAATGGCTCCAAGCAGGGACCGCCTGCTGCACTTTGGGTTCAAGGCGACAGTGAGTGACAGGGGAAGGGAGCTGGGTGGCCGGGAAGGATGTATGTGCCTTACAGGCTCCTGGGGAACAAATGACGAGGGATGGGGGGCGCGGGCAGAGGCTGAGTTCTGTGCAGGTGGGTGCGTGCCGGTCTGCCTGCGGAGGGAGGAGAGGGGGACGCGGGACAGACCCCTGCGCAGAGTGCGGTCCTGCTCTTCTCTCCCTCTCCGGTCCGCGAGCACGCGCGCACTCGCACCCACCCCACAGCCCCCCTATTCCACACGCAAAGGCACTTCCCTGCCTCGCCTGCTCTCGATGGGTTCAGCTGCCTCGGAGGTGCTGGGGGTCGTGCCACCGCCGCCAAGCTCCGGCTGCTCCAGAGCGCACCGTCAGGGCCGGCCCCGGGTGGGGGAGGGGTGGTCTCGCGCCGCCGCCGCCGCCGCCGCCGCGCTCCTCCCCGCTCCTCCCCCTCCCGCCCTTCCCCCTCCCAGGCTCTCCGAGGCCCGGGCGGCTCTGCCCAATGAGCAGCGGCGTTGCTGGCAGGTGGGGAGTGTTTTTGTTTTGGGTTGAAGTTGAGGCTGTGGAGAGAGCCGAGCTAGCGACTAGCAGTCGTCGCGGCCGCCAGCGCCGCAGGAGGTGGTGGAGGCCTCGTCCGAGCCCAGAGGTCTCTCGTTCCCGTTCCGCGGCCCCGACTTCGCCCCTCCACGTCCTGGTCCCCGTCCCCGAACTCCTGGGCCTGTCCTGGGCCCCCGGTCTGTGCACTCCGCTCGCCGCAGCGCCCGGCCCGGGCCGCACCCGCCGGCCCCATGAGGAGAGACGTGAACGGAGTGACCAAGAGCAGGTTTGAGGTGTGAGCTTGGGCTCGGGCGGCGTGAGGAGGGCGGGTTGCGCTCTCTCTTCCCGAAACGTCCGCTCCGCACGGAGTCTCCTGCCTGGCGGGCGCCGCCACCCACCCACCCGCGGGGCTGCCAGACTCGGCTCCCCTTTTTCGCGACCTGAAAGCCCAGGGCAGCCCGGCGTCCCAGTCCCTTCGCCGGTTCGCCCCCCGTCTCTTCCCACCAGCGGGCCCCCGCGGAGGATTAGCTCGGGCGCCCTAATTCCCCCCATCCCCCAGGATCGCTCAGCTTTTCATTCTTTATACAACCCTTGGCTTGCCGCCTTCTACCCAGCAGAAAAAGCATCACGGCTCCGGTCAACAAGAGCCTGCTGCTTTTCTCGCTGCCACCTTCTTCGTGACGCGTTTGTTGTCTGCTGAGGATGGAAATTAGAGACTGGGGGCCATTTCTCCGAGTTTGAGACCTTGGTGCAACTAGGGAAGTTGGGGCGGTAGACTGGGATGAGAGAGGCGACCACGGGTTTTCGGTGCTGTTTGGTTTGGGTATTGTTCTGATACTTCCTCTTCTTTCCCGTTTAGTCTGTACTTTTGTAGCTCATTGTTTCTGGGAACCCTTGGATGTCTACATGCTTTGAGATTGGGACGAAAGTTCAGCAAATCCATTCCGGTCTTTTAGGAACTTTTTCTCCTCTAGCGAGGGAGGTTTACAGTCCTGGAATTGAGGAGTGGATGGTCTTGAAAGCATCTGTAGAGAGTAGTCACCGTGCAGGAAAGACATTCCATTGGGAAGCAAAGTATTGTAACTACTGGTGAATTACAGTAGTATAACAGTATACTGGAAGGTTCTTTGAAGGGACAAGAGAAAGAAACTTCTACAGGAAGAGTAAATGTCACCTGGTCTTTTCTGGCAGAGAACCAGGCTGACCTGGTATCACTCACAGCTTGGTGGACAATCTCACTCGGTGTTTTTCATCGTCTCCATTTGAAAGATGTAAGACGGCAAGAAAAAAGTTAAGAAACTCGACTACTAGGTACAGGGAGTGAAAAATTTTAAGGGTCGTCAGTTTGTTCCTTGATTCTTTTTTTTTTTTTTTTTTTTTAATTTTTTTACTCCTTTTGTGCCACCTTTTTTTTTTTTTATTAGAACGGGAAGATGATTTGAATTGATCCATGAAGATCAAGATAGGAAGTGTTCGGGGTGAGTTTAAGTTCAGAGCTACAGTGTTATTGTTGCACTTGAGGAGTGGAAAAAATCAAAGAATTGGCCTTCTTAGAGTTTTAGTATTTAACTTGATCACGAGAAGAAAATACTATGGTAGATATTATTTGGTGCTTAATAGGACATTGGATGGCTCTAATGTACAGAGCCCCAACAGGTTAATTTATGACGGTTTCATATTCAGTACTACTTTAAAAATCTTGAAAGGGAGTTCGAGATTCTGAAGATTTGAGTCGGGGACAGTCTTTTGCCTGTGGAATTATATCTTTATCAGTTTGCTTTTCATTTTAGGTTGAATAATTGTTGGAAAGTATTCTCTTGTATGTGCTTTAAAATTACGCTGCTATTTTTTATTTTTATAATTCATTTATGTTTTAATTTACAATCTCTGTAGTGGTGACATATTATAATAAAATACTATGAAAATTTGTTGCTTTATTAAGAAGTTTCTTTTTAACTTGACTGTGATGTAGCTAGCAACTAAAGCTTTCTAAATATGATCTGAGAAGGTTGAAAAAATATTAAGGGGGGAAATCCTTCTTGGACAGTTTCATGATTAAAGTGTTTTATAAACTAAAAGCTGTTCCCTTAGTATGATGTGAAGTGCTCCATGCCAGAATACAGATAAGAATGGCTAGAAATGATATGTGTTAATGAAGTTAAATGAGTTTTCTTAAAACCATTTACCTCTTTATGGACCTAATTTACAAGTAGTGAGAACAATTAGTAAATTGGCTTCTTAGGAGGTAGTAAACTTACTGCTAATTTATTGAAAATATTTTAAATATTTACTTTCAATCAATAAAAGATAGGCAAATAAAGCAGATCTAAACCTTTGCATCAAATGATTTTTTAAACCCTCAAGATTACAGTCTGCTTCTTAAAAGAACTGATAATTTGGCCGGGCGCGGTAGTGGCTCACGCCTGTAATCCCAGCACTTTGGGAGGCCGAGGCAGGTGGATCAAGAGATCGATACCATCCTGGTCAACAGGGTGAAACCCCATCTCTACTAAAAATACAAAAGCTGGGCGTGTGGCTCGCACCTGCAATTTCAGCTACTCAGGAGCTGAGGCAGGAGAATCGCTTAAACCCAGGAGGCAGATGTTGCAGTGAGCTGAGATTGTGCCACTGGGCAACAGAGTGACACTGTGTCTCAAAAACAAACCAAAAAAATGATAATTTTACAACTGTAAGTAGATAGCAGATCTCTTATTGAGAACTTTTGTGGATGCACAAAATCTTTATATCACGTAATAGCTAATTTCAAATTGTGGCTGTAAAAGATTTATTTTTCTGGGGTGTGGGGAGTTGGGGAGAGATAGCATGGGGAGAAATGCCAGATATAGGTGATGGGGAGGAAGGCAGCAAATCACACTGCCACGTGTGTACCTATGCAACAATCTTGCATGTTCTTCACATGTACCCCGAAACTTAAAATGCAAGAAAAAAAATGCGCTAAAAATATATATATATATATATAGTTTTCCTGGATAAGATAACTGAAACTTAACGATTTTTAGATAGTTGATTCATTTAAATCCTTTTATAGATATGCTTTTATATATTGTAACTGGAGGCCACACACTTTAAATCTCCCTCTCACGGTTAGAGCTATAGAAAAAAAAATGTTTAAGTTAAAACCGAAGGAGAGTACCTGTTAGCCAGATGTGTAGCATCCTTTACAATAGTAGAAGTAAATGACTACTGAATAAACAGTCTCTAAGATATTGAGAGATGTGGAAATTCATGTTGTTCCTTGCTGTGTCACCTTGGCATTAAATATATACATTAATAACTCTTGTAGGTTAACATAGTATGTGCTGGATTCTGTTAGTCATTTAATTAAAATTTACTATTCAGATTTTTTTTTTTTTTTTTGAGATGGAGTTTCACTCTTGTTACCCAGGCTGGAGTGCAATGGTGCGATCTCGGCTCACTGCAACCTCCGCCTCCTGGGTTCAGGCAATTCTCTTGCCCCAACCTCCTGAGTAGCTGGGATTACAGGCAAGCGCCACCATGCCCAGCTAATGTTTTGTATTTTTAGTAGAGACAGGGTTTCACCATGTTGACCAGGATGATCTCGATCTCTTGACCTCGTGATCCACCCGCCTTGGCCTCCCAAAGTGCTGGGATTACAGGCTTGAGCCACTGCGCCCGGCTCAGATTTTTTATGATATTATTTATAGTGAACTTTGCAGCAAATTTTAGTAATTTTTTTTCAAATTTAATGATGGTTATTGAATACTTCTGCATCCAGACATTGAGCCAGTTGTTTTACCTCTGTTACCTCTAGTTTTATGCTTCTGTTTTACATTTGAGGAAAGTGGAGGCCTGAGAGATTAAGTAAGGTGTTCAAATTGCACAGCTAGTAAGTGGGGAAGCCAGGATTTCCAATCTGCATTTTTCTTTTTTTTGGACTCCACTGTTATCCTGCTTTGTTTTTAGCATAACTAGCAAAAAGTCTATAAAATTTTTGGAAAAGACCTTTTCCGCAGTTCATCCGGTATATTTTATTTTTGTATTTGTTACTCCTGGGCTTAAGGTATCATCTCACTGGCCACCCAAAGTGTCGGAGTTATAGGTGTGATCACCACACCTGGCCACCTTCATTTTAAGTGCTATAACTGACATTATCTTAACACTTAGTAAGATTAGTGTTTAAATATCTAGGCTAGTCCTTGAGTCCAAGCTTAGATTTATTTTAGTTAAGCCTCTCCACTTTGTCATATTCTTAGTAGGTTCAATTTGAGGATGTAGTATTGTTGGAGGAAAATTCTGTATTAATGGGTTTATTAAAAAGCCTAACATTAAAAAATAATCATAGTGGTAACATTAACTGACATTTAGATACCATTTTACAGTTTAAACAGTGTCTAGAGATAAGGACCCATAAGTTAGAAAATGATATGCTCCAATTTGGGTATTTTGGATCCATGTTCATTATTGTTTTTCATTATACCTCACTGACTTTCTGATAAATCTGTAATATTACGTGCAACCTGTAACACTAGCATGTAATATTTGTTTGCCTACTTGCTTCATTTTATCCAAAATAATGAAAATTTGCCTGGGCGTGGTGACTCACACCCATAATCCCAAAATTTTGGGAGGTTGAGGCCAGCAGATCATCTGAGGTCGCGAGTTGGACACCAGCCTGGCCAACATGGTGAAACCCCATCTCAAAATACAAAAATTAGCTGGACGTGGTGGCGTTTGCCTGTAGTTCCAGCTACTCCGGAGGCTGAGGCACAAGAATCACTTGAACCTGGGAAGCAGAGTTTGCAGTGAGCCAAGATCATTCCACTGTACTCCAGAGTGGATGACAGAGTAAGACTCTGTCACAAACAAACAAAACAAACAAAAACCAAAAATCTTAAAATGCAGCATGACCAAAAGAGCACACTACATTGTGAATGAAGAGACCTGGATATTATGTTAATCTTAATTTTTGCCAGGAACTAACTTGTAACTTTGGTCATTTCTTTTTTTGAGATGGAGTCTCACTCTGTTGCCAGGCTGGAGTGCAGTGGTGTGATCTCCACTCACTGCAACCTCCACCTCCTGGGTTCAAGCGAATTTCCTGCTTCAGCTTCCCAAGTAGCTGCGACTACAGGTGTGTGCCACCATGCCCAGCTAATTTTGTATTTTTAGTAGACATGGGGTTTCACCATGTTGGCCAAGATGGCTTCAATCTCTTGACCTCTGATCCGCTCACCTCAGTCTCCCAAAAGTGCTGGGATTATGGGTGTGAGCCACCATGCCCAGCCTTTTTAAAACATTTTTGAGACGGAGTTTCACTTTTGTTGCCCAGGTTGGAGTGCAATGGCACAATCTTGACTCATTGCAACCTCCACCTCCCAGGTTCAAGTGATTCTACTGCTTCAGGCTCCCGAGTAGCTGGGATTACAGGTGTTCAGCCACCACGCCTGGCTAATTTTTGTATTTTTAGTAGAGACAGGGTTTTGCCGTGTTGGCCAGACTGGCCTCAAACTTCTGGCCTCAACTGATCCGTTCTCCTTGGTTTCTCAAAGTGATGGGATTACAGGTGCGAGCCACTGTGCCTGGCCTCTTTTTTTTTTTTAACCTTTTAAAACATGGCACATTCTATCATGTACTTATATAGTAGCTTCCATTATTTAAAAATCAATACATGTATGAGAAACAAAGATAAACCATTACATTGCAAATTACTGTTTTCTATTGAGTCATTAAAAGTCTATCACCTGACAAAAAGTTTATGAAATGTATTATCAACATTATGTCCCACATTCTTAGGTGTAATCTACTTTTATGTTGAAGATTTTTATTCATTAAATTAGTATTTCTGTTAGAAATAGTCACACGTTTATATATTTATTTTACTTATTTATGTATTTTTTGAGACCGAGTCTCTCTCTGTTGTCCAGGCTGGAGTGCAGTGGCAAATTGCAGCTCACTGCAACCTCCACCTCCCGGGTTCAAGTGATTCTGGTGCCTCAGCCTCCCAGGTAGTTGAGGCTACAGGTTCCTGCCACCACACTTGGCTAATTTTTGTATTTTTAGTAGAGATGGGGTTTTACCTTCTTGGCCAGCCTGGTCTAGAACTCCTGACCTATCCGTCCACCTTGGCCTCCCAAGTGCTGGGATTAAAGGTGTGAGCCACTGTGCCTGGCCTAGCAGGGGTCACACTTTAAAAATCTTCTTATGTTTTAGGCCATTTGTCAGTTTTAACTGTTAGTCTTGATGGATGCTTTTTAATGCTGATTTTTAACAAATCCATCTCTTTTCCTTCCCAAAGTTGTCTGTTTTCAAATCTTGATCTTATTTTTCTTGCACATTTATAAGTGCTTTCTTATAGGCCAAGGATCTCATTCCTGGTACTTAGATTACTGTTTTCCAACTGGTAATATATTGGAAACTAAATTAAAAATTTTAGTATCTG